GAACACTATAAGCACACCGAGCACCCACACATATGAGTACGAATATGTTATCGTCCTGAGCTTAATTACAATGCTTTGAATATGTATTGACGTGAGGCAAGGCAGACATTTGATATTTCCAGCGGCTATTTTACAAGTTAAAAACTATTTTTGATAAGCGGATGATGAGCTCAACGGGTATATATAACATATACAATATATCGCTGTATCTAAATTGTTAATAGTTTGTTTAAAGCTTAGCGAAGGGATATGATATAGCGCACAGCATTTCCTTAATAACGTCCTAGGAATAAAATGTTGATATTGGCTTGGAGAACGAAAAACATCCACGGAGACAAAATTTGAAATTGAAGATGAGGCATTGAAAATATTACTCGATGAAGATCATTGCCAAAAACAATAAGAGATCGCAGATCCTTTGGGGAACACTCAAGCAGTCATCACAAACCATTTAAAAGCCACCGGTTACTTTAAAAAAAGGAAATCGTTTTACATATGAGCTGAAGAGAAGAGACGTTGAAAGACCATTTTGCATRCTAGAAATGCTGTTTGGGCGCTACAAAAATAATAACTTTTGTAGCGAACTGTGAGTGGTAATAAAAAGGAGATTCAATACAAATAAGTGATGGCACTGAATGAAATATTATTTCAACTCAAAGATCCCAGCAAACGTTACACCTATGGCAGCAGACAACGTACTAGTTGTTAACCCTAGTAAAACGGAATGATGCTTTTCATGAATCTAACTAAAATACCTCAATYTAATCTTCCCTCTTTCGKTGATACAACAATTTTSACGCCCCCTMAACTGGTGGCTACATTAGAGAAATMATATAATATCAGCAAAATAAATRAAATATCGAGAGCYTTTCGTGCARGGGTGCCACATAGATGTTTCTGGAAGCAATGCTATGAGTATAAGAGAGTGAGGTGGTTGGAACAGAAAATATGATAGATACAACGCCATCTTGAACCAACTAAACTCAAACAAGTCAGACTATATCTAAGCTTAGATTTCTGAAGCCACTTCTGTCCAGGCATTGCAWTTACAGACTTACAGCTACTATATYGGGRCACTGGGCCTCTGGAGCTATAAATGAGTCTGCCTTACAGCAATATTTGCTAGCTAGAAGTAAATAAGGAATCGTTTACCTCTTTAAAGATAAAACGGGATAGCAAGATTATGGTCCTACGTTGGTGCATCAAAATGGCGCATTTGGCCCTAATTAAGCAAGAAGATGCAGCCCTTCTTCTTACCTATCCATAACAATCCTTAATGCAAATAATCGCATRTAAAACCTGACCAGTCAGCCAAAGCAACGGCAAAGAAAATAACAGAACATTGTCACCGGAATACGGCTCGCATCAGAARAAAGTATCAWAAATTKSCTTGATTTGTTCTTAGCCACCCAGCGGGCACGTTTTTTTAGGAGATTGAGTCCACAAATTGCCACTAGAATGKGGAAATTTTATTATTGACTGTTTTTAAATCAACATTATAATTTTGAAAAGAAAAAYATGATTTTTTAAAAACTTAAAACAAGTAAGAATCTTTGAAAAAAATGTTTTGAACCGAATGCGTAAATTTTCGAGCTCAGCATCTAAACATGCATGTTGTTTTATACTTTATTGTTATTAATTTGTACTTAATTTAAAAAAAAATCTCGCTTCGCTGTTTTATGAATATTCCTTATCGCCACCAACATTTCATCATAAATAAAATTTAAGCTTTTATTAAACTGCTTTCAACATACATATGTATGACTGTACGTATATATGTGTCATATGCATGCTTTATTCCCGATTTCCTGCGTGAACATATGACAACAAAGGAGATGGGAAGTGGATGCGTTTGTTATGACACGCTTCATCGGTTTTTCACATGCCAATGACACACACACACATACACACACTGTTTGTGTCCACACCCCCTATTTCATTCCGTGCACTCGCTCCATTTCCGTCCCTCGCAATTTCCATAATAATAATGGCAAATAGGAGCTTATGTAATAAAATAGAAATTAAGTTACTCATACCACACGGTGTCCCAGCGTATGCACTCMTATGCCAACAGTGTGTATACATATATGCATGTGTGTGTGTACAGTTACCTACATGTCGAATAATGGAAATTGCATTTGCACAGCGTTTTTGATTTGATTCATTCAACGCGTGTGCGGAGCGGCGCTGAGTGGCTCGTTCGTCTKTCCTTTCACATATTTTCATTATTGTTATTGTCGGCGTTGGATTGTCGAAGCAGGCGTTTGATGTGCCATCCRACAGATGTATTGTCGCTAGTTGGGGGGCGTCACTGCGTGCATGTCTGCGTGTATGTTCTTTGAGGCAAAGATTCAATTTCCATTCATGCACGAATAATGCAGAATACAATACATAATAAATGTGTTACTGCTATGGCGATTGGGTGTGTGTGGCGCACGCACGCGTACACCGGAAGTAGCTTATTGTGCGTACGAAAATTGTTGAAATTTTACTTTGGAAACAGCTTATTTCCAAAACATTCTCACGTACTTGCCACTTACTTAGATATACACATACATATGTAAGTGTCTTTGTATGTGCTCTGAAATTTCGCATACACCATTTTCTCACCAAGAAGCTGCTTATTTGTCAAAATCATCGATATTTGAATATAGCTGCCATACAAATTGAACGATCTTAATTAAATGCTTTCATGGAAACTTGGAAATATTTTGTTTTGACCGACTTGTTGATCTTGCAGCGCCTCGGCTGCCACCTGTTGCATATTTCTTAACTACGCCGAACCAATATGGTCACCTAGGTGCAGGGTACACGCAGTCAAGGAAGCTGCAAACTTGTCAGAACACTGATACCGCTAGATCGAACACCTGCATAATGAGGTTAAGAATCATCATGAACTCTTATACAAGCAGTTCCAGCTGGGGTTCTGTCGCAGAAATCATTCCTACAGTCACTTGTTAAGAGCGGAACCGTCTCCCATAAGCACCAAGATGTCCTTCCTCAACCACGCCATTCACAATAGAGCCATTAACTCTAACGAGAGTGACCCTAGTGACTTTGTTCTGGATACTGTAGCAGGTTAAACTCCTACTTGCCCAGAATAGACCCTGACATATCAAACAAATGTCCTGCGTGCAATGCTTTCCGCAAAACACTAGCCACCTCTTTGCATACCCTACCAACCAGATGTTACTGACACTTTTTTCCCTTGGTTTGACCTCGTCGAAACAGCACGCTGGCTGCGAGTTCCGTTGGATGACTTTGATGCCAACTTATCTACTCCTTACAATCCTAACGCGGCTTAGGTACCYGTTACAAAAACAACACGGGRTGATGAATGACTTGTAGAGTTTGGTCTTTGTTCGTTGGGAGAGGACTTTACTTCCTAATTGCCTACTCGGTCCAAAGTAGTTGTAGTGGTAAGAGTGATTGTGAGTAGGATTTTAAGGCTGATATTTTTGTTGGTGTTATTGCTGGTTTTAAGATAGACGAAACTATCTACGACTTCGAAGTTATGACTATCCACATTGACTGGGAAGTCAAGTCGCGAATGCGATGACTCTTTGTTTGATAGCAGGAGATATTTCCTCTTACCCTCGCTCAATCTTTATCCTGTTTGGAGAAATCTGAATGGCGCGGTTGTTCAGCTCAATGTTAGCATAGGCGTCCGCCAGCTATTGTATACTCTTATAAAAGATTGTACCTGCTCGATACAGCTCTGCAACTCGAATTATTTTCTTCAGGAGTAGATTAAAGAAGTCAGATGATAGGGTATCGCTCTGTCTGAAACCTCGTTTGGCATCAAACGGCTCTGATACGTCCTTCCCGTATTAGTTTTGCGGGAATACCAAATTCAGACAAAGCGGATGGAGGCAGCTACTTTTCGTGCTGTCAAACGCAGCTTCGACATCAACGAAGAGATAGTGTTTGTCGATTCTCTTTTCACGTGTCTCTTCCAAGATTCGGCGCATGCTGAATATCTGTTCAGTTGTTGATTTTCAAGGTCTAAAGCCACACTGATAAGGTCCAATCAGCTTCTTGACGGTGGGCTTTAATCTTTCACACGATACGCTCGACACAACTTTTATATGTTTATTCCACGGTAGGTGGGGCACATATTCTACAAAGAAGCTGCTTCAGAAGGGTAATCAATAGAGCACTACAATCTCTAAAAAAAATCGTTCAGTTCAAGCCTTTATAGCATGTAGCAAACTGATCACTCAAAGTTAAATACTTTTCTGGGCATTGAATTTAATAARAGTCCAAACTAAATTGCTATTCGCACATTGCAGACCAAAAAAAAAAAAAACTAATCGTTCCACATAGAGACAATTCTGTGGCAGTTACGAGGCTGATTGCACCTATACGAACACTATGTGTTTTCCGAATTGCTATGCAGTGCCGCGTTAAAAACGGTTACGCTAGCATAACGACTGCGCACACTTTTTTGTTAGACACAAAATGCGGCTATTAACTAGTGAATCYCTGCTTGCAACATTTGACCGAAACAAACGGCGAAATAACGGCGCATCAAGGCGAGCATATTTTGCCGTTAGCCTGCGGATGTCCGCGGTTTTTGTTGCATAAATTCCGCAGTTGCGTTGTGGCAGATTGCCCTATGTGGCGATGGTGAWGCCGCAGATAAGCAATTTGCATGCCAATAAGTGTGCAACAAAAACAACAATGCTTGTGCGAATACATAGTTGGAGCAATCACAATCAAATATGCGGCATGTGGACTAGCTGACCATGCACACATGTCAGTGGCGTGTGAGCGAATTAGGTATGTGTTCACAGGTTTGGTAGCTGGCGTGGTCATAAATACTTGCAAGTGCTAGTGTCGCTATCTACGGTATTCATTAACCTTAAAAGAAAGCTCTCTGATCACTTTTGTATTTCTTGCGCCTCTCCTTGCAGACACTCAACAGCAGCAGCAACAACAGTATCAACAACAGCAACAAGTCGGCGGTAAGCATCAACCAAATGGCAGCGTCATGACTGGTGTGAGTGCGCAGCAGCAACATATACGAGCGCCGCGCCCACCAATACGCACAGCCTCCTCTGCGCCCACCAGTGGCAGTGGCAGCGGCAGCGGAGGGGGCGTCAACAGCAGCGGCGGCGTAGTAGTTAGCGGCAATGCGGCCATTTTGAACAATCTCATCGATCAGACGCCATCAAACGGTAGCAGTAGCAGCGGCGTCAGCAGCGCGCCCTCCAGTAAAGGTCACTCACATCATCACCTGCATGCGCATGCGCACGCGAACGCTATGGCCGACAGCATCGGTCTGACGACCACAACGTCAAGCGGTAGCGGTGGCGCCGGCGGCGGCGCCGGTGGCAACAGCATACATTCGCAACAACAAGTGCCACAGGCGGCAATCGATGAGATGCGTGTCTGATAGGTGTCGGTGTTCGAGCTGGAATTATAGTCTTCTTGGTGAGTGCAATTTAAATACATATGTATAAACTCATTACTTATTCAAATGTGGTGATTAGCTAAAGCTACCCCAGATTACAATTATGCTTACTTATACGACTGCATGAAGTTAGAGTCCCCTTGCTGCGCTAAACAGCACACAGTTGCCATAAGAGCACTAAGCGCCGTTCTAGTCTTTTAAAGTTATCATTCATTGAATCGAACAGACGCTCTGCAAAGCTTTGCCTGTAAAAGTCAGCTATGCTGCTACTCACCACTCACAGGGTATGAAAAATGGCCGAGCAACTAAGCGCTTGTGTTGGCAAAGCAAAGTTTGCGGAGTCAAATGGATATGTGGGATTATGTGAAACTATTTTTATTTATTTCGATACTACAACATGCGATCAGGCGTCGTAATTTCTGAGTAACAGTTTTTTATCGGATGACAACACCTTTCCTTGGAATATTAGATATGCGTAACAGCTCACATAGATGTATTTGTAGCACACGAACGCCAGCTATCGAACGCTTGCATTGTACACTCTTATTGTTCCCTGCTCCGCTATTGACGGTACAAGCAACAGCGCGCCGGAACGCATTGACGCGCATAGCTAGCTTGGCTAATACTTAAGCAGCCGCTCGCATAGAAGGGGGTCACTTCACTATTTCAAACAGGGCGGCATACGCGCAGCTCACTTGGCTSGCGGGCAGCCCACCTATTGTTGGTCTGACTTTGTRCGCGCGCCTGGCTGCTAGATGGCTACCACTTAACGAGCTTTGGCTGCTTGTGTGCACTTGCAACGCCTAAATTTATGCAATGCATCTCACTTGGCAGGCAATTGCAATAGAAATTTGCATTATGYGACGAAGTGCACTCAGGCAGCGTGTGGCAGGTATGCATCACARCACTGTAAAAGCTCTTAGCAAATAACAACACACACATACGCGCGCTTGCTTGCTTTGTGTGAGAGCAAGGAAGTGTGCTTGTTGCCAGAGATTTGCATATTTGGGCGCGAGTGTGTGTGTGCCAAAATGGTTGCATATTGTCACGCTTTCGAGCGCTCTTGCAACACATCTGCTCATTTTGCTAGCCAGCCGGTCGCCGCCCGCCCTTCTGCCATCGCTGGCATGCATACAATGTCACCATGACTAAATACATTTTCATACATTTGCGCATTTAGCTATGTTTAAGGGACGCCGGCTGCTGTGTCTGTCTGAAATTTGATCATTTCGCTTGGTTGCCTATCATCTTCTTAAGCGCCACTCAGTTCGCCGCCACTTCGCTTTTCGTCTTTATGCATACATAGACATTGCATAGCCTGGCGCCGTTCCTCTTCTGTATTCGTTAACTTTAACTTTTTATCTCTAACCATGTGCTGCTGCAGCTCGTTGACTCGCTAAACAAAGTAGCAAGGCAAAAAGCCACGGGAAATGACAAAATTATGAGCTTCTTGGCGCTACCTTTGCCGCTTTGGCATAGCATTGTCGCCCGCTTGCTGGCAAAGTTGCATAATATGAATTTATATTTTCTTCAAACAGCCTTTTTTCGCTTAACGTTACTGCGTTGCACGCTTGATTTGCTGCTGTTCAGCCATCAGTCAACTGTGAGCGCGTAAATTTAAAATTCATTACCCAAGATGGATGTGGCGACASGTGATTGCAGCAAGTCATTTGCACATCTTCTGCAATGTTTTGAATGTAAAATTTCCACCGAACAGCGAAATTGTGGTTATATGTACGATTATGTTATCTGCATTATATTCAACCTTGCACCAGACTACTACTGTATCACTTTTTATAGCTAAAAGAACCCATATTGAAGCTTTTGTCAAGAACTCACGTCCTATTACTCTCCACCGCCCGCCGTAAATTGTGCTTTTAATGAAAAGCTTAGCTCTCACTTTGAACTCGCTTTGCTATTTACCAAGTCCGACGAACTGTGCCGTTACACCATATAATTACGCCTCAAAGGCACATTTAGCTCCAGTAACCAGCTATATACCTACTCCAAAAATATAAACTACAAAATTCGAAAATTTTCGGCAACTAAATATTAAATTGCAAATAGTAATAAAAAATAAATTTTAAATGGATTTTCCCTGATTTTATCAATGAAAAGATTTGCAATTTTTTACGCTGCTTGTTGCCAGAGATTTGCATACACATTTCCATGTAAATATAAATTAATATCGTCAAATATCAAATGATAAAGAAAAGATTTCCCAGGAATTTTGTGTGCTTCATCGTGCGAATAATTCATTTATTATTACGTTTTTATTAATGATTGAGAGCAATACTTTGCTTTTAGGATATAAATGTTGCCAAGAGGACAAAATAATACCTTTTACACGTAACGGTATTTTTCATAATAAACTAATAAGCAAAAAAACTATGTCTCTATTAAGTTAGAATTCTACATCGTTTTTTTTTTTTTTTTCTTTTTGCTTTTCTTTTTCTTAATGTACATACATTTAAGAATAGACATAGAAAATTTCATACTGAACCGGTGAATATTTTCGAAGTTACTCGTCAATTTGAAAAGACCTTTCAGAGTGCTTCAAAGTACATAACCAAACTTTAAACGCGTTTTTCACAAAATGGTGGTTTGAAAGTTGGTGACCAACATTACTCGAAAACAGCTAAGCCGATTAGTATAAAATTTTAACACGAGCTTCTCAAATATATATTTTGGTAATTAAACGAAGATATTTATCTTTTTTATAAGCAATTTAATGTCGAAATTTTGGCCAAAAGCCGATTTTTTTTTCTTTGCTTATTCCTTCGACTAATTACTAGATTTAAGATTATTTTAACGAAATCTATTTGGTTTTTTATATAGTGGTCAAAGCAAAACATGTTCAGTTGCAGTTCCTTTCCAAATAAATATTTTTGCTTATACTAAGTTTTAAAATACATAAACATACAATAAATTTACATTTTTTCTCAGAAAAAAATATCTGGAAAATTTGCTTTTTCCGGCCTGTTCTAACTGTTAATAACCCCTTAAAACAACTTCAACTGATCCTTCATTCATACATCTCTTTTAAATTTACTTGCATGTAATAASAGCAAAACTTTCAGCAATTTGCTGATATGGTATCTGAACACTTTGTTAGTTCCTACAACATTATTTAAAAATCTAGTGAAAGTGTAAAACTTGTGAACAAATCAGGTTTTAAAGTAAAGCTTTTATGAAACTACTTACCAGCAGATCAGTCCATTTGTTATCCCACATAAGGGATAGACAATGACTTGTGATCATCGAAATCGGACCACTGACAGACGCCACCAATAACAAAGACGAACTCTTAAAACTACTAAATATTCTACATTCTTAAAAACTTAGAGATTACATTACATGTGGAATAGTTTATGTACTCGCCCTTATTTGAGCTCTTGTCTGTGCTAAGTTTGTTTTTGCTAGTAGTAGTTGGATAGAGTTAAACCTGATGCTATTCGAAGAACGTAGCTGCAGAAATATGCTTTAATAGAAGCTTTAAAATTTCAAAAGCCACTACAAAAAAAACAAAAATTAGATGGTATTGCGGACTTAAGTAAATGCATTCAGCTTTAGCTTTTGTACTTCCGCGATATTCGAACTTAAATGAATTCGCTTTTACTTTGATGTATAACGACAGATGGACGWCAAATATTGGTTTCATATTTTCGAGATTAAAGTGAATTGTGACGCTATTCTTTATCAATTAATCAGTATATACATACTTTTTCTTCTTTACTGGCGTATAACCGAGCGCGCCCGTCTTTTCTTCTTTTTGCAATGTGGTGCCAATTGGACTGGGGGTCTTCTACTTCCTCTACTTCTCCCAGCCCGTACGGCGTCAAATACTTTCAGAGCTGGAGCGTTTTCGTCCCTTTGGACGACATGATCTAATAAGCGTATACACAGTCTTTTATTGCTGAACTGTGTCAATGTCGCCGTATATCTCATACAGCTCATCGCTCCATCGAATGCGGTATTCGCCGTGGCCAATGCGCAAAGGAGCATAAAGCTTCCGRAGAACCTTTCTCTCGAAAACTYGTAACGTCGACTYATCAGGTGTTGTCATCGTCCATGCCTTATGCACAATATAGCATATAGCAGGACAGAGATGATGAAAGACTTCGGGCTTTGTTCGTCGAGAGGTTACGTCTTTTATTTATTTCGCGTTGGATTTCGAGTCTGAGACGTTGTTGTTGGTGTTAATAAAACAGAGTAAGACTTTSTTCATAATTTTGAAATTATTAATTTATTTTTCAAAATCTATGACGTGCCCTCAAAGTAGTACCCCTTGGCCCCAATACACTTATGCCAACGTTTTCTCCAAACCTCGATACAGATGTCAAAGTCAATTGCGGCACGATATTTGTTAAAAATTTAGCTAAAAACTCGGGAAAGATCAATGCAGTATGCGACGGTGTATTATAGTGATGCAAAAACCAAGAGTTGTGGGCCCTAATTCTGACCTCTTTTTACGAATTTCTTCGCTCAAATTACTCACAGCATTCAAATAGTACTCCTTGCTTACTGTTCGGCCGATGGAAAGGAGTCCGGAGTGCAACACAGCTCGATAATTGAAGAAACAATTATTTTTGTCCTGCTTTGAGGTGTTTTTTTTTTTTTTTTTTTTTTTTTTTTTTTTTTTTTTTTTTTTTTTTTTTTTTTTTTTTTTTTTTTTTTTTTTTTTTTTTGACTTCCTAAGCATAGATCCAGGACTCACTGCCAGTAATAATACGCTTCAGGAAGCATTGTTGCACAAAAGTTAACGCGACACTGTTTTTAAAAAAAATTTAGTAATTTTGGAACAAATCGTGCTTTCACTTTTCATAGATCCAAATGATTTTTCAAAATATTTTGCACTGATCCTTCCTATATGATAATTGCATGGCTACGCAGGAGGTTCTTAAGAACATAGCTGTGGGCATTATACAATTGACCACTAATCGTGACAGCTCTTCTGTAAATGCTCGTACTAATAGTTATTATTGCATTGCTTTCAAAACTTTGCTACCAGATAAATCWC